CATTTTGGTTTAAATTTTTTTGTTATGGAGTTATGAGCCCCTAATTACAGATTTTCATTAAACAAAGGTATTGTGAAATGACAGAAATCAGTAATTATTCGACCGAAAAGTGGCAGAACAGTTAGAGGTGATATACTGATCTTTCCCAACATCTGTGTTCCCTTTCTGAAACATTGCTCTGCGCGAACACCCCGACAACACGAAGGAAAGCGTTGAACAGTATTTGGCTTCATTGCATGATCAAGCCTTAATACGAAACTACGGCTTGGGTAATGGAAAGTGTAGACATTTTGCCCAGCTTCGAGGGTTAAGATACTGAGCCAAAGAAGCAAATGGCTTTGCCCTTGCCTTAACCAGAGACGTGTTCCGAAAAAGATTTATGTCGGGACTTGGTTCAAATTTTTAGAGCGAAAGATTTTGCTTCTGTTGACGCGTAAAGATTTTTAGTGGTCCGACAGGGTAACGAAATTATCAATTTCTGTCAACTATCAGGGGCGGATTTAGGCCGTCTTCTGGGTCTTCCGGAAGACGGTCAGATTTTCAAGTTTACATTGACGGGTATCTAATTTTTTTTCTGTTGGAAGACGGTCAAAATTGGAGGATAAATCAACAAAGATAATTTGGAAGACTGTCATTAAATAGCTCTGAATCCGCCCCTGAACTATTGACCATTTTATATGCACATTTACATACATGCGCAATCCACGTATTATACTGGTATGTATACCCTTGGTGAGAGTACACCTTTTTCGTTTTAAAAAAAGTTATCCAACTTAAATGTTAGCAACATTTTATGAAATACGCCGAATACATTACAGTTATCTCAAGGGACTGCACAAATAAACACCAAAAGAGACTGCGCAATGCAGAGAAGCCATGGGATTTACCCACCATTATGGAAATTTTACGGGAAAATAAGCAATTTTGCGTACTCATGAATCAATTATCTGTCACTCTCTTCACTTGAATTCCACCTTTAATTAAATTTTTTAAAGGTTGATTTAGTGTAAAATGACTGACTGACTAGCCAGATGCCAGCTTCTTAAGGTCCAGTGACGTATCAACATCAGGTATGCCTCAGAAGAAAATTAATTAAGATGTTAAATCGTTTTTGAGGTGTATGTAAGGTTTTATAAGAAGCTGTGGATCTCAAAAGTAGGCATATAGGAGATTTTTTAGAATTGTTTAGATTGTTTAGAATTTAACGTGTGAAAAAAAATCACAGTTTATTATTAATTTTCAAATTCATTACTTTTTGGGATCAAAATGTAAATTACAAAGCTTAATGTTGAAAGAATCAAATGGACGTAAGACAAAATTGTGTGTGCGTGCGTATGAGCAATGCGTGACTAAGTTTACCGGATCATAAGACTGTTACAGGGCTAATTATGCCAACACCAACATGATCATCACGATAAAGCTTATTTGTTTTTCTTGTCGTTGTGGAATATGGAAACCAGCGTTGTGAAATAGTCAAAAAACTTTTTCCTAGTGAAAAAAAAAGAACTTTTTAATTTGAATTACCACAAAAAGGTTTTAAAATCATGTAGCCCATTAGAGTCTACATGAAATGTCGCTGACTAATGAATCCCTTTATATAGACGAAAACGAAAAAAGGAAAAATATCTTACCTTTAGTTGTCCCACTTAGAGCTAACGTTCTATGAGGCAGGCCTTTGTTCTGCGAACGCGTCGCCCTCGAAATGATCGTTTTGTTAAACCCTGGCTGCGTCCACACCGTATTTCCTGATACTCAGACTCGCGCTCTCTGCTCTGCAAATTTGACACGATGCCTAAGTATTTATAAGAAATTACCGACGTGAGTGGTAGGCTTGATAAGCAACATTATCATCGTGTGACAGAATGAAACCACGATCTTAATGCCTCTTAAGGATCAATCAAGTCATAAGAACGGCCGGCAAAGTGACATTAGAGCCGCCCCTAGCGGGAAGACAGCGAAAAATAAAAGTGGCTAAGGGGAGACGTATAGCACTCCAATGAAATTACGCGCCAAATTACTGGTACGAACTTAAGTGCACTTTGATAGAACAACCCTCTCGGCGAAGTAAATGCTTTCTTTTTTGAATTTTTTTCTGACAAATAACGATATATGAATTTCGGTGCATCTCAATGCAATACCCGGGACAGATTCATTGCGGTTTCTGATAGCATTTCGATTCCTTCTTGAATTTAAGTCCAGTAACAGAACTCGAAATAGTCTTTTATCGTGTTGCGTAACAATTTTTTTTTGCATATTTAACCCTATTTCCGTGGTAGCTGTGTTAGTTATTCAATATACGCATCACTTTGTAAAATGGAAATGGACCTTGGAGCAAAAGAGCACCACTGCCCTCATCACTATAACGCAAGACGATGGCCCAGCGCAATTGGTGAGGGACAAGCAAGCACATTAAAGGCAGCCAATGATGATAACCAGTCATGTGAAAGAGAAGAACTTAATAAAGTCAAAACACCACCAAGCAAGGGATATTGATGACTGAAATCAGTTTACCAGCACGGAACGGGTCATTAGTTGACTTATAATGGTTCGTAATTCGCATTTTTCTCAACTGATGTGATGTTATACGGGCTGTTTCAGAATATTGGTACAGTCGCTGACATGACCTGCAAGTATGGCACGGCAAGGATCCTATAGTGTCAAGCACCATGGAGCAATAATGTTTAAAAAGAAGAGCTGATTGAATTATTTTTTACGAACTTACTTAGGAAAAAACTGGCAAAGGAAGACCCCTACCATACCAAATTGTTTGTGCCGCCTTAAACGAAGACAACAAGCTTTTGCTGTGCGAGGAATGCTCCAGCAAAATCTAAGATTTGTCAGGGGGTAGGAGAAAATAATCTCTGCTTTAATTCGTAAATATACGGCAATAGTCAGGAAAGATTTTACAGTTTTACTGTAACACACGTATGTAGGGCATAGGGACTCGCTATCCTAGCGTCACTTGCGATGTTAACAATATCATGGTGGTTATATTAGCGAAAGTATGGCAGCTTGCTAGGTATATTGCCTCTGTCGAAGCCTAGGTCTGCGCCGAAGACAAATGGCCGAAATTAATGTGCTTTTAATGTAATGTAATATATTATTAGCTCTGATCACTATAATTTGGAACAATTACCAGGTACAGCTACTGTACCATTTTACGGTATGACCTATGCGCACGCACATGGAAAGGGCGAAGTGTCTCGTCCAACCGGGTGAAGCTTTATTTTAACAGATCTTGATAAGGTGGCCTGAATGCAGTTACAACCTCGCTGATCCATTACAAAGTCTTTGTCCTTAATTCTTTCTTTCTTTCTTTCTATATTCATTTATTTATTTAATATTGTTTTCTCCTCGACATCTTCAGGTAAACAGACCCTTTCATACGGTCACATTCTGATCAAGAAAATATTATGCTTCTTCAAAATTTAAATGAAAGCCTTTACTGTATTTGTGTGCTTGGGTAACCCGTTAATAACACCCACAACTTGAGAGGCAGCCATTTATGTACGCCCTCAGCAACCAACACGACAATTCCATTTCCGGTCGTCCCTTGCGGCGGCCATCTTGGAGGTTTTGCGGTTCGAATCTATAGCTACCTTCATGGCTGAAAGGTTTTCTCGGCTTCTGTGACTGAATTGCAAATAAGAATTTCAGAAGTGTACAGTCATCTAAATTAAGTTTTTCTTGTCCCAGGCGATATTTTCGTTGCACACATTCGTACTTTTTAATGAGAAAGTTTTTTGGTGAGCAAAATTGCTTTTATTAATTTTGTTTTATTTCATTTTTTTTTTTAATGTTTTAATGTTGTTAATAAAATATCACTTTCTTGCAGATGATGGTAAAATTGTTTCGTTCTTCATCCATTACAAAAAGGGACGGTAAACACACCCTATAGGTCAAGAATCATTTCTACCCATCTGAAACAGATAAATATATTTATACTGCACCTTTGATATTCGCAAAGGGCGCAATAGCTATTTAAAGTCTTTGTCCTTTCGATTTTTGTCTTGATTTTGTGAAAAAAGTTATTTTGATTTAATATATTTAGAGTGACCGGCCTATGATTTATACGCCTTAGTAAAATGGTGTTAACTTACGAAAGCGATAATTTAGAAAACGACCTCAAGTAATTTACGTAAACATCTCTTTTCATAACAGTAAATTCAAGCCACTATCAGACGCAATTTTTGACAATTATTCAGATATTAAACGAATAAATACCACAAAATTACCTCAGCAACAAAAGATAACCCGAGCAAGATATAAAAGACCTGAGCTGAAGTACGTCAGTGCCGCTCAGATATTCCTTCTTACAGTGCCGCCGGAATGTCCCCTTACCAAATGGCCGTATGGTTTCCCAAGNATACCTTTTTCGTTTTAAAAAAAGTTATCCAACTTAAATGTTAGCAACATTTTATGAAATACGCCGAGTACATTACACTTATCTCAAGGGACTGCACAAATGTACACCAAAAGAGACTGTGCTATGCAGAGAAGCCATGGGATTTACCCACCAAAATGGAAATTTTACGGGAAAATAAGCAATTTTGCGTACTCATGAATCAATTATCTGTCACTCTCTTCACTTGAATTCCACCTTTAATTAAATTTTTTAAAGGTTGATTTAGTGTAAAATGACTGACTGACTAGCCAGATGCCAGCTTCTTAAGGTCCAGTGACGTATCAACATCAGGTACGCCCCAGAAGAAAATTGATTAAGGTGTTAAATCGTTTTTGAGGTGTATGTAAGGTTTTATAAGAAGCTGTGGATCTCAAAAATAGGCATATGGGAGATTTTTTTAGAATTGTTTAGATTGTTTAGAATTTAACGTGTGAAAAAAATCACAGTTTATTATTAATTTTCAAATTCATTACTTTTTGGGATCAAAATGTAAATTACAAAGCTTATTGTTGAAAGAATCAAATGGACGTAAGACAAAATTGTGTGTGCGTGCGTATGAGCAATGCGTGACTAAGTTTACCGGATCATAAGACTGTTACAGGGCTTATTATGCCAACACCAACATGATCATCACGATAAAGCTTATTTGTTTTTCCTGTCATTGTGGAATATGGAAACCACTTTTTCCTAGTGAAAAAAAAAAGAACTTTTTAATTTGAATTACCACAAAAAGGTTTTAAAATCATGTAGCCCATTAGAGTCTACATGAAATGTCGCTGACTAATGAATCCCTTTATATAGACGAAAACGAAAAAAAGGAAAAATATCTTACCTTTAGTAGTCCCACTTAGAGCTAACGTTTTATGAGGCAGGCCCTGGTTCTGCGAACGCGTCGCCCTCGAAATGATCGTTTTATTAAACCCTGGCTGCGTCCACGCCGTATTTCCTGATACTCAGACTCGCGCTCTCTGCTCTGCAAATTTGACACGATACCTAAGTATTTATAAGAAATTACTGACGTGAGTGGTAGGCTTGATAAGCTACATTATCATCGTGTGACAGAATGAAACCACGATCTTAATGCCTCTTAAGGATCAATCAAGTCATAAGAACGGCCGGCAAAGTGACATTAGAGCCGCCCCTAGCGGGAAGACAGCGAAAAATAAAAGTGGCTAAGGGGAGACGTATAGCACTCCAATGAAATTACGCGCCAAATTACTGGTACGAACTTAAGTGCACTTTGATAGAACAACCCTCTCGGCGAAGTAAATGCTTTCTTTTTTGAATTTTTTTCTGACAAATAACGATATATGAATTTCGGTGCATCTCACTGCAATACCCGGGACAGATTCATTGCGGTTTCTGATAGCATTTCGATTCCTTCTTGAATTTAAGTCCAGTAACAGAACTCGAAACAGTCTTTTATCGTGTTGCGTAACAATTTTTTTTTTTGCATATTTAACCCTATTTCCGTGGTAGCTGTGTTAGTTATTCAATATACGCATCACTTTGTAAAATGGAAATGGACCTTGGAGCAAAAAAGCACCACTGCCCTCATCAATATAACGCAAGACGATGGCCCAGCGCAATTGGTGAGGGACAAGCAAGCACATTAAAGGCAGCCAATGATGATAACCAGTCATGTGAAAGAGAAGAACTTAATAAAGTCAAAACACCACCAAGCAAGGGATATTGATGACTGAAATCAGTTTACCAGCACGGAACGGGTCATTAGTTGACTTATAATGGTTCGTAATTCGCATTTTTCTCAACTGATGTGATGTTATACGGGCTGTTTCAGAATATTGGTACAGTCGCTGACATGACCTGCAAGTATGGCACGGCAAGGATCCTATAGTGTCAAGCACCATGGAGCAATAATGTTTAAAAAGAAGAGCTGATTGAATTATTTTTTACGAACTTACTTAGGAAAAAACTGGCAAAGGAAGACCCCTACCATACCAAATTGTTTGTGCCGCCTTAAACGAAGACAACAAGCTTTTGCTGTGCGAGGAATGCTCCAGCAAAATCTAAGATTTGTCAGGGGGTAGGAGAAAATAATCTCTGCTTTAATTCGTAAATATACGGCAATAGTCAGGAAAGATTTTACTGTTTTACTGTAACACACGTATGTAGGGCATAGGGACTCGCTATCCTAGCGTCACTTGCGATGTTAACAATATCATGGTGGTTATATTAGCGAAAGTATGGCAGCTTGCTAGGTATATTGCCTCTGTCGCAGCCTAGGTCTGCGCCGAAGACAAATGGCCGAAATTAATGTGCTTTTAATATAATGTAATATATTATTAGTTCTGATCACTATAATTTGGAACAATTACCAGGTACAGCTACCATTTTACGGTATGACCTATGCGCACGCACATGGAAAGGGCGAAGTGTCTCTTCCAACCGGGTGAAGCTTTATTAACAGATCTTGATAAGGTGGCCTGAATGCAGTTACAACCTCGCTGATCCATTACAAAGTCTTTGGCCTTAAATTTTTCTTTCTTTCTTTCTTTCTATATCCATTTATTTATTTAATATTATTTTCTCCTCGACATCTTCAGGTAAACAGACCCTTTCATACGCTCACATTCTGATCAAGAAAAATATCATGCTTCTTCAAAATTTAAATGAAAGCCTTTACTGTATTTGTGTGCTTGGGTAACCCGTTAATAACACCCACAACTTGAGAGGCAGCAATTCATGTACGCCCTCAGCAACAAACACGACAATTCCATTTCCGGTCGTCCCTTGCGGCGGCCATCTTGGAGGTTTTGCGGTTCGAATCTATAGCTACCTTCATGGCTGAAAGGTTTTCTCGGCTTCTGTGACTGAATTGCAAATAAGAATTTCAGAAGAAGTGTACAGTCATCTAAATTAAGTTTTTCTTGTCCCAGGCGATATTTTCGTTGCACACATTCGTACTTTTTAATGAGAAAGTTTTTTGGTGAGCAAAATTGCTTTTATTAATTTTGTTTTATTTCATTGTTTTTTTTAATGTTTTAATGTTGTAAATAAAATATCACTTTCTTGCAGATGATGGTAAAATTGTTTCGTTCTTCATCCATTACAAAAAGGGACGGTAAACACACCCTATAGGTCAAGAATCATTTCTACCCATCTGAAACAGATAAATATATTTATACTGCACCTTTGATATTCGCAAAGGGCGCAATAGCTATTTAAAGTCTTTGTCCTTTCGATTTTTGTCTTGATTTTGTGAAAAAAGTTATTTTGGTTTAATATATTTAGAGTGACCGGCCTTTGATTTATACGCCTTAGTAAAATGGTGTTAACTTACGAAAGCGATTATTAAGAAAACGACCTCAAGTGATTTACGTAAACATCTCTTTTCATAACAGTAAATTCAAGCCACTATCAGACGCAATTTTTGACAATTATTCAGATATTAAACGAATAAATACCACAAAATTACCTCAGCAACAAAAGATAACCCGAGCAAGATATAAAAGACCTGAGCTGAAGTACGTCAGTGCCGCTCAGATATTCCTTCTTACCACAATTCTGAACAATTGTGTTGTGATATTGGTTTGGTTCAGCACGCGCGTGCGTGCGTGTGTGTGTGCGTGTGTGTGTGTGTGTATGTGTGTGCTTGTGTGTGTGTGGGTGTGTGTGTGTGTGTGTGTGTGTGTGTGTGTGTGTGTGTGTGTGTGTGTGAGAGAGAGAGAGAGAGAGAGAGAGAGAGATCGGATCTCACTCTCAAACAGCAGATCACTCTTGGGAGAAGTTGGGGCAATAAAAAGAAAAAACCAACAACAAACACCTCTGACGCCATATGCAGCCTTCTTTTATAATTTGCTTGTGTCTACTTTCCCCTTCTTTTTACTCTTTTTCATCTCGAGAGCAAGTTCCTTCTGATCCGGGATGTAAGAATCGTCACCGGTGACATTTTTTCCTTGCTTTTCATACACTTAAATGACACATCAGTTCGCGATAATGCAACGTAGGAAGAGGTCATACTTTCTTTACTGTCAGAGGGGTGTAAAATAGGTTTAAATATAAATAAAGGCTATAAAAACAACTTTAAAATACATCGACAAAAATGCCGAAAGGCGGGCATTCTGTCGGTTGATGATCTAAGGAATTTTGTGATGTTCTTGATTATTCCGAGCATAATCTTTAATTTGTTGGACATTAAAATGTGTTTTTACCACCTTCAGTGATAAGGTAAGGTGGGGGCAGATTTTTTGACAACCAGACTATAAATACCACAAAATAATCTCACTGAATATTCCATTAAATGATTATTAAATACTCAGTGCCCGTTTCGACCTTCTTATCCTTTCAAAACATTGCTCTCAGACACGTTTAATGAATCATTTTGGGACCATCTTTCTGTCTGAGCGACTTTTTTGTACATCACCTTATGCAGTTTAAATAAGTAATGGTTGGTTAAATGCTAGACGGCTGTAGAAGACATTTGGGAAATTAATTAATTATATCCCATCTACTGTCCTTGTAAAGGAGAACAGAGCGACAAATGGGTGGATCAATACTTTGGCCAGACATTTTCTACGAGCACCATAGAGAATATGGTATATATATATTGCATGATAGCCTTGCCAACATCTTGGCCACAATTCGTTATTTTCAGACAATGTTCGTCAAGAGATTGATGTAAGTGACGCAATAAGAAGATTTAATACAAATAATGCAATATTTGTCTATCACAATCACGAAATTGTCATACTTAACTGAAATTGACCACTTAATTGCCTGCCAAATGCAAGCGTTTCTTATACAGACAATTATCCCAAGTCACAAAGTGAAAGTCCCTTTATAAGGTCCGAGGTACAATGTGGCAAGTATAAACGAGTAAAATTTTAGCACTGGTGTTGAGAAACAATAATTGTGCTTTGTACTTTATTAGCATCTCTATCGCAATCTATGGCACTGACACAGAGTTCAAAGGTCAGTTCCTAATCCAGTGAAAATAGCTGTCTTTTCTGGAATACAGTTCAAACCAGCATGAAGACATTTGGGAACGGCAAAGCGGGTAAAAGCAAGAATTAAATTGGTCCTTATCTTGTTTCTTATGCCTCCAGTCAAATTGCCCTCCATTCTAGTGGGCAGGCATAAAGCTAGTGTCGTATAAGTAATTGCAAAACAAATCTATTGTCCATTTCTTCCTTTTCTTTTGTTTTTATTATTGCATCACTTAGATTTTTTTATATAAATATGTGTTTGCACGTGTGTGTGTGTGTGTGTGTGTGTGTGTGCGTGTGTGTATGTGTGTGTGCGCGCGCTTGGGTCCAGCTTTGTCAGCAAAATATTCTGTGAAATTTGAGAAAAGGCTGGCGCCTCTCTTTCCTCGCACTGGCTACGGCCATGAAGTTGATAAGCAATGCTGGAAACGTATGGAAATGTTACCGACTTTTGTTTTTTGTTTCCAGTGTCTAAAACTGGCTAACACCACCGGTTTTGAAGGAGTAGAAGTCAACATTTCGGGCCTGGCGCTGAGCAGGAGACCATTTCAAGACACTATCATACTAAATTTGGATAGAACTATCTCCGAGGGGATTCTCGCTTAATTGCAATTAACGTGGGCAGCTTAGATGTCTGTCACGCCTGCTGAGGCTGATAGGGGTAATTAACTATCGTTTAGCAGCTTTAGTGGGCGTCCCAGACGTCAAAGCCGCTCGGGCTGAAAGCAACTAAGCGAGGGACCCAGTGGAGATGGACCGATCCTGTTAGATTGATCTAGGGATGGGAACCCAGTCTAAGATACAGGTAAGATGGGGATTATATGAGTATGTTGGAAACAAGAGAAGGGGTGTAAATCTGTTAATCAGATTGCATTCAGCAAGAGTCCCCGCGGAGTTGGATCGATCTACGTAGAACAATAGTTTCATTGGGAATGTACCCTTATAGTTTTTGTTTCTGGGGTCAAAAATTGGCTCTTTTCCATTGATGCTGTTGAAGTTTATGTCCTTGGAGAAGGTAGATCAGCGTTTAGTTTTTGATCAACTGCGTATAAATACTCTTCTTTGGTACATAGTTGTGGGGGAATATTTTTACGATTTTTTTCATCGAAAATACCAAAAATAAACCGTTATGCATGGCGAGACATTTCTTTAATACCTTTTGTGGCTAGGATTTGACGCTCTGCGAAAATGACCTTTTCTATTTTGATAATGATTTTATTTGCATGTTATTTACATATGTATACATGACATTGAATGAACATCTGTGATCCATGCGTGTATTTCTGACACGTTTTTTCGTCTTAATGAAGCTTGCATATAATTGATCAAAATAGTCTTACAGTTAACAAACCTGTGTGTCAAAAATTTCTTGTACACTCAATGATAATGAAATATCTTAATACTAAAAATCATAAAAATAAGGCTTACGTATTAAAACTTGTTGGTATGATAATTTTTAGAATAAAATAACCCGGAATGATAATGGAAACGGAATACCAAAAATAACACCCGAATTTTTTGTGGAGATAAACAGAAATACACGTCTAAACTATCCTAGCGATTTTAAAACGTCATATATAATTAATATAAAACTATATACTTTCAAGTCTATTTTGCTGCAATGCACTTTTTTTTTAATGTGATTACTTTTAAAGGTGGCAACAGGCTGTATGAATGTACGAGATATGTTCTCCTAATCAAATCAAGATTGACTGGAAAATGCCAAATTCTTGTGATACAAATTGTTACTGTCAATATCACCGCCCAACAAATCATTTTTCGAAACGCACTTCCTTAGAGTAGCGTTTCTCGTCCAACTTATTCCCCCATAAAAGCAATTTCAGATCCCTTTTGTAAACAAGTGTTGAATGCAGACGATCATAGACTAAATCCAATATGGCGGTGTTCCCCTGTATGCCACCGTCATGCGGGTGAAGTTGGGACATCGGCGCACGACGCTCTGAGCGTCCGATCTCGTTAAAGCACAACTTTAAAGTGCTGAGACAAGTGTTGTTGTCCAAAGCCTCAAGGAGATCCAGGAACCCTTGTTTTCCAATGCCACACATGTTCAGACAAAGTGTTTTAAGGGAATTGTTATGTGACAACATGGCAGCAAGAGCCTCGGCGCCAGAATCTCCTAAGTGATTCATTCCTAAATCTAGCGACAGCAGAGTTTTATTCTCCGTTAATGATTGCGCAATGGCACCAGCGGCTTCCTTCGTGAAGCCACATTTCTCTAAATTGAGAAACTGAAGAGTCGTGTTTCTTGACAACATCGTACCAATATGGAACGCTGCGTTGTCACCAATATCGTTGGACGATAAGTCCAGAACAAGGAGGCCAGTGTTTCTCTCCAGTGCCCTAGAAAGTGCTCTACACCCTAGAAATGCGATATTATTTCCACGCAAGCGTAATTTTTTCAGCGCAGATCTATTTCCTAACAGCTGTGCTATGTGATCGCAGTCTCTGTCGTCCAACTCGTTAAATCCTAAATCCAACTCTCGCAGGGTGCCGTTTCCCACGAGATTTTGAACTATATCGCTGCAACCATCGTGCGAGATTCTCGTGTCCGTCAGATTTAGAGACTTCAGCGACGTGTTTTTATGCAGCGCATTCGAGAAGGCACGCGCTGCCTCGTTGGTCATGGGATTCATTCGAACGTCCAACTTCAGTAAACACTTATTTACTTGCAACGCTGACGCCAATCTTTCCATCCCATCACTGTCGATGCAGTTTTTAGGGATGCTGAGTTCTGATACACACCCGTATTTCTCCAACACGGACGCCAACACGGACGCTCCATCGTCGCCTAGGTTTTGGTCGTATATATCCAGTGATATAACTGGGACGTATTTTTCCGGACTTTCACAGCTGTCCGTCAGACAACCATCCATCTGGAGATTTTGCTCGATCATGTCAGTGAATTCCCGCGCTAATGCCACCGAAGCGCGTGGATTATCGCAGCTGGTCAGACGCGGGAAATAGCCTGGCGGAGTCGGGAGGGTGATGATCGGCAGGACCTCTCCGGTTTCCCGGTCGTAATAACTGATATCACAGTGCATGTGCGCGGCGTCTAGAGCCGGTGGCTGAGAGTGGTGGGCCCTGAGGACCTCCCCCACCAGCTCATACGGATCCTCCTCCAGCGGATCCACATCCGCCTCCGTGCCACTATCCACTTCCGGATCCAAGGGCTTATTTGGGTTGTGTTTTTCCAGAGTTTTGAAAACAGTTTCTAAAACTTCCAAAATGTCCGCCAAAGCCTCGTGATCCTCGTTAAGACGCAGTATGTATTTAAATGCCTCGAACTCCGCCTCTCCTTTTGTGAATAGTTCATCAACAATGAAAATGTTCATTGTTTTCTTTCTCTCCTCCTGCAGAACAATTTCCTTCTCCTGCTCCGTTATAACCCCTTTACGAAACAAGTGGTGCAGTACATCTGGGGCGTTCAGTCGGTCTATCAGCAAGTAACGCATGATTTCTAGTATCTGACGATGCTGAGCGAAGAGAAACTCGTCCGTCAACATCCGGGAGTCCCGAGACTCGATGGCCTTGTACCGACTACTCCGCGGATACGTTCTGCTCATGGGGGAGAGTTCGGGGGCCACATCAGTGCTCTGCAGGGATTTCAAGTCCGGGATGTTTTCGTAATTGCCGAAATATCCTGAGATACGTTTTTTCCGCAAGGGGGCGGTGGCGGTATTGACGTATAGACGTGGGGGTTTGGGTGGTGGGTTGGAATTCGAGGTGGCGCTGCTGAAGGAGGGGCTGGGAGAGGGGTCGCCGCCAGGCTGAGAGGTCCAGCTCTCCGGAGAAGAAATTTGCGGGGAACGGGAGGGGAAAGAGGGAAGGAGATCCACGGTGTGAGCAGCGTTCGGGTTCTCAGGGGGCAACAAGTCCAGATTACTCGGGCGGCCAGGGCGAGAGAAGAGAGGCGACGGTTGGATGTCATCTGGCGCGGAAATCATGGTCTTTGGGTTGTCTAGCATTGAGCCTGATTTCCGCTTGGACATGGTGGACCATCTCTTCTGATCCCCTTGTCTCAACCGACCTGGAATGAGAAAAGATAATTATTACTCATTGATTCTACTTGGACGTTAACCTCCTGCTTAAAGTGGCCGGAAAATATAAAAAATGACCTGTTAACATCAATCTGTGCTATGTATTTTAATAAAGGCACTGGCTGCAAATATTTAACGGAATTTATGGACATTGAGGTAAAAATGACTTTTCATCAAACTGAATAACATACAATTTACGTGAGTGATAAAACAAGTTAACATTTTCAAATGTGCCAGCTGCTTCCTCAACGTGTGCGATCTTTATACAGAGTTGAGAAGAAGCCATCGCTACAGACTGTCTGCGGAAAATTAGTCTTATTTTGGTAGTTACTGAAGACTGCCCAATTATCTGTGCCTGTTTTCGTTGTGTGTGATCTCAAAATACAGTTAGTCGAAAATTACTGACACAGAAGAACTGTGCAATCCAATCTGGGGAAATATAAGTTTCATATTTTGTGGTTACAGTATATACAATACTGAAGACTAGAAAATTACTGCGGGTCCTAACAGCAATACAAAAGCGATCTATTCAGGGTGAAGAGGTCCCACTTCGAGCAGGGTACATTACCACAAACGCCTACCTTTCAGACCGCAGAGAAAAGACATCGAAATAAGTACAAAGTCAGACTAAACCATCCACGCGCACCAGCAACGAAGACCGAATATATGATCCTATGTTTTCTCTGTCATAAGATGATTCTACACGGCAGTGCTCTGTTCTCGTCGACTGATGTAAGCCTGCAGTAACACATAATGGCTCAATCCTGTGATTTTTTCACCTCTTAATCTCGCCGTGTTCTGCAGTCCTCTCTCTAGGTGATCGGTCTACCACAACGCGCTGTAACACTCCAAATGACCACAGAAAAAGTCGTCTTCACACACAGTAGCAGCTGGCGACACGTCTGTTACACATTCAGTCCCAAGAAAGCGTCAATTCACACGGCTTCTCTTGTCACGACACCTCCTTAACGTCTCCCGACACAAGGGGGCTTGTTATCAGGTAATGTCCCCGTCGCCTGACACCCAGCGTCCAGGTGGCTATTACGGCCCACCTTTATCCTGGTCAACAAGCTACTTTAACAACCTGCTGGTCCGTGATTGCAGTCCACATGCTATATTTTATAAGTTAAGGATCTGTATATGGTGGTGTTGTGGTGATAGTATAGATCTGCATTGGAGGATTTCTTTTGTTGTTAAAAATGTATAGATAGAGGTGTGTAGTTTGTTTTGAGCTAAAAAAGACGACAGTGATGAGAGAGAGAGAGAGAGANGGATTCCGGCGGCACTGTACCACAATTCTGAACAGTTGTGTTGTGATATTGGTTTGCTTCAGCACGCGTGCGCGTGCGTGTGTGTGTGTGCGTGTGTGTACATGTATGTGTGTTTGTGTGTGTGTGAGAGAGAGAGAGAGAGAGAGAGAGAGAGATCGGATCTCACTCTCAAACAGCAGATTTCTCTTGGGAGAAGTTGGGGCAATAAAAAGAAAAAAAAACAACAACAGACACTTCTGACGCCATATGCAGCCTTCTTTTATAATTTGCTTGTGTCTACTTTCCCCTTCTTTTTACTGTTTTTCATCTCGATAGCAAGTTCCTTCTGATCCGGGATGTAAGAATCGTCACCGGTGACATTTTTCCTTGCTTTTCATACACTCAAATGACACATCAGTTCGCGATAACGCAACGTAGGAAGAGGTCATACTTTCTTTACTGTCAGAGGGGTGTAAAATAGGTTTAAATATAAGTAAAGGCTATAAAAACAACTTTAAAATACATCGACAAAAATGCCGAAAGGCGGGCATTCTGTCGGTTGATGATCTAAGGAATTTTGTGATGTTTATGATTATCCCTAGCATGGTCTTTCATTTGTTGGACATTAAAATGTGTTTTTACCACCTTCAGAGATAAGATAAGGTGGGGCAGATTTTTTGACAACCAGACTATAAATACCACAAAATAATCTCACTGAATATTCCATTAAATGATTATTAAATACTCAGTGCCCGTTTCGACCTTCTTATCCTTTCAAAACATTGCTCTCAGACACGTTTAATGAATCATTTTGGGACCATCTTTCTGTCTGAGCGACTTTTTTTGTACATCACCTTATGCAGTTTAAATAAGTAATGGTTGGTTAAATGCTAGACGGCTGTAGAAGACATTTGGGAAATTAATTAATTATATCCCATCTACTGTCCTTGTAAAGGAGAACAGAGCGACAAATGGGTGGATCAATACTTTGGCCAGACATTTTCTACGAGCACCATAGAGAATATGGTATATATATATATATTGCATGATAGCCTTGCCAACATCTTAGCCACAATACGTTATTTTCAGACAATGTTCGTCAAGAGATTGATGTAAGTGACGCAATAAGAGGATTTAATACAAATAATGGAATATTTGTCTATCACAATCACGAAATTGTCATACCTAACTGAAATTGACCACTTAATTGCCTGCCAAATGCAAGCGTTTCTTATACAGACAATTATCCCAAGTCACAAAGTGAAAGTCCATTTATAAGGTCTGAGGTACGATGTAGCAAGTATAAACGAGTAAAATTTAAGCACTGGTGTTGAGAAACAATAATTTTGCTTTGTACTTTATTAGCATCTCTATCGCAATCTATGGCACTGACACAGAGTTCAAAGGTCAGTTCCTAATCCAGTGAAAATAGCTGTCTTTTCTGGAATACAGTTCAAACCAGCATGAAGACATTTGGGAACGGCAAAGCGGGTAAAAGCACGAATTAAATTGGTCCTTATCTTGTTTCTTATGCCTCCAGTCAAATTGCCCTCCATTCTAGTGGACAGGCATAAAGCTCATGTCGTATAAGTAATTGCAAATCAAATCTATTGTCCATTTCTTCCTTTTCTTTTGTTTTTCTTATTGCATCACTTAGATTTTTTTATATAAATATATGTTTGCACGTGTGTGTGTGTGTGTGTGTGTGTGTGTGTGTGCGCGTGTGTGTGTATGTGTGTGTGCGCGCGCTTGGGTCCAGCTTTGTCAGCAAAATATTCTGTGAAATTTGAGAAAAGGCTGGCGCCTCTCTTGCCTCGCACTGGCTACGGCTATGAAGTTGGTAAGCAATGCTGGAAACGTATGGAAATGTTATCGACTTTTGTTTTTTGTTTCCAGTGTCTAAAACTGGCTAACGCCACGGTTTTGAAGGAGCAGAAGTCAACATTTCGGGCCTGGCGCTGAGCAGGAGACCATTTCAAGACACTATCGTACTAACTTTGGATCGAACTATCTCCGAGGTGATTCTCGCTTAATTGCAATTAACGTGGGTAGCTTAGATGTCTGTCACGCCTGCTGAGGCTGATAGGGGTAATTAACTATCGTTTAGCAGCTTAAGTGGGCGTCCCAGACGTCAAAGCCGCTCGGGCTGAAAGCAACTCAGCGAGGGACCCAGTGGAGATGGACCGATCCTGTTAGATTGATCTAGGGATGGGAACCCAGTCTAAGATACAGGAAAGATGGGGAGTATACGAGTACATTGAAAACAAGAGAAGGGCTGTTAATCTGTTAATCTGATTGCATTCAGCAAGAGTCCCCGCGGAGTTGGATCGGTCTACGTAGAACAATAGTTTCATTGGGAATGTACCCTTATAGTTTTTGGTTTCTGGGGTCAAAAATTGACTCTTTTCCATTGATGTTGTTGAGAGGTCAGCGTTTAGTTTTTGATCAGCTGCATATAAATGTCTTCTTTGGTAAATAGTTGTGGGGGAATATTGAATAAATTAGAAAAAAAAAAATCGATTTTTTCATTCAAAATACCAAAAATAACCGTTATGCATGGCGAGACATTTCTTTAATACCTTTTGTGGCTAGGATTTGACGCTCTGCGAAAATGACCTTTTCTATGTTGATAATGATTTTATTTGCATGTTATTTACATATGTATACATGACATTGAATGAACATCTGTGATCCATGCGTGTATTTCTGACACGTTTTTTCGTCTTAATGAAGTTTTCATATAATTGATCGAAATAGTCTTACAGTTAACAAACCTGTGTGTCAAAAATTTCTTGTACACTCAATGATAATGAAATATCTTTATACTAAAAGTCATAAAAATAAGGCTTACGTGTTCGAATGAATATTTCGATAAAACTTGTTGGTCTGATAATTTTTAAAATAAAATAACCCGGAATGATAATGGGAAAGGAATACCAAAAATAACACCCGAATTTTTTGTGGAGATAAACAGAAATACACGCCTAAAGTATCCTAGCGATTTACAAATGTCATATATAATTAATATAAAACTATATACTTTCAAGTCTATTTTGCTGCAATACACTTTTTTTAATGTGATTATTTTTAAAGGTGGCAACAGGCTGTATGAATGTACGAGATATGTTCTCCTAATCAAATCAAGATTGGCTGGAAAATGCCAAATTCAAATGATACCAATTGTTACTGTCAATATCACCGCCCAACAAATCATTTTTCGAAACGCACTTCCTTAGAGTAGCGTTTCTCGTCCAACTTGTTCCCCCATAAAAGCAATTTCAGATCCCTTTTGTAAACAAGTGTTGAATGCAGACGATCGTAGACTAAATCCAATATGGCGCTGTTCCCCTGTATGCCACCGTCGTGTGGGTGAAGTTGGGACATCGGCGCACGGCGCTCTGAGCGTCCGATCTCGTTAAAGCACAACTTTAAAGTGCTGAGACAAGTGTTGTTGTCCAAAGCCTCAAGGAGACCCAGGAATCCTTGTTTTCCAATACCACACATGTTCAGACAAAGAGTTTTTAGGGAACTGTTATGTGACAACATGGCAGCAAGAGCCTCGGCGCCAGAATCTCCTAAGTGATTCATTCCTAAATCTAGCGACAGCAGAGTTTTATTCTCCGTTAATGATTGCGCAATGGCACCAGCGGCTTCCTTCGTGAAGCCACACTTCTCTAAATTGAGAAACTGAAGAGTCGTGTTTCTTGACAACATCGTACCAATATGGAACGCTGCGTTGTCACCAATATCGTTGGACGATAAGTCCAGAACAAGGAGGCCAGTGTTTCTCTCTAGTGACCTTGAAAGTGCTCTACACCCTAGAAATGCGATATTATTTCCACGCAAGCGTAATTTTTTCAGTGCAGATCTGTTTCCTAACAGCTGTGCTATGTGATCGCAGTCTCCGTCGTCCAACTCGTTAAATCCCAAATCCAACTCTCGCAGGGTGCCGTTTCCCACGAGATTTTGAACTATATCGCTGCAACCATCGTGCGAGATTCTTGTGTCCGTCAGATTTAGAGACTTCAGCGACGTGTTTTTATGCAGCGCATTCGAGAAGGCACGCGCTGCCTCGTTGGTCATGGGATTCATTCGAACGTCCAACTTCAGTAAACTCTTATTTACTTGCAACGCTGACGCCAATCTTTCCATCCCATCACTGTCGATGCAGTTTTTAGGGATGCTGAGTTCTGATACACACCCGTATTTCTCCAACACGGACGCCAACACGGACGCTCCATCGTCGCCTAGGTTTTGGTCGTATATATCCAGTGATATAACTGGGACGTATTTTTCCGGACTTTCACAGCTGTCCGTCAGACAACCATCCATCTGGAGATTTTGCTCGATCATGTCAGTGAATTCCCGCGCTAATGCCACCGAAGCGCGTGGATTATCGCAGCTGGTCAGCCGCGGGAAATAGCCTGGCGGAGTCGGGAGGGTGATAATCGGTAGGACCTCTCCGGTCTCCCGGTCGTAATAACTGATATCACAGTGCATGTGCGCGGCATCTAGGGCCGGGGGCTGAGAGTGGTGGGCCCTGAGGACCTCCCCCACCAGCTCATATGGATCCTCCTCCAGTGGATCCACATCCGCCTCCGTGCCACTATCCACTTCCGGATCCAGGGGCTTATTGGGGTTGTGTTTTTCTAGTGTTTTGAAAACAGTTTCTAAAACTTCCAAAATGTCCGCTAAAGCCTCGTGATCCTCGTTAAGACGCAGTATGTATTTGAATGCCTCGAACTCTGCCTCCCCTTTTGTGAATAGTTCATCAACGATGAAAATGTTCATGGTTTTCTTTCTCTCCTCTTGCAGCACGATTTCCTTCTCCTGCTCCGTTATAACCCCTTTACGAAACAAGTGGTGCAGTACATCCGGGGCGTTCAGTCGGTCTATCAGCAAGTAACGCATGATTTCTAGTATCTGACGATGCTGAGCGAAGAGAAACTCGTCCGTTAACATCCGGGAATCTCGAGACTCGATGGCCTTGTACCGACTACTCCGTGGATACGTTCTGCTCATGGGGGAGAGTTCGGGGGCCACATCAGTGCTCTGCAGGGATTTCAAGTCCGGGATGTTTTCGTAATTGCCGAAATATCCTGAGATACGTTTTTTCCGCAAGGGGGCGGTGGCGGTATTGACGTAGAGACGCGGGGGTTTGGGTGGTGGGTTGGAATTCGAGTTGGCGCTGCTGAAGGAGGGACTGGGAGAGGGGTCGCCGCCCGGCTGAGAGGTCCAGCTCTCCGGAGAAGAAATTTGCGGGGAACGGGAGGGGAAAGAGGGAAGAAGATCCACGGTGTGAGCAGCGTTCGGGTTCTCAGGGGGCAACAAGTCCAGATTACTCGGGCGGCCTGGGCGAGAGAAGAGAGGCGACGGTTGGATGTCTTCTGGTGCAGAAATCATGGTCTTTGGGTTGTCTAGCATTGAGCCTGATTTCCGCTTGGACATGGTGGACCATCTCTTCTGATCCCCTTGTCTCAACCGACCTGGAATGAGAAAAGATAATTATTACTCATTGATTCTACTTGGACGTTAAACTCCTGCTTAAAGTGGCCGGAAAATATAAAAAATGACCTGTTAACATCAATCTGTGCTATGTATTTTAATAAAGGCACTGGCTGCAAATATTTAACGGAATTTATGGACATTGAGGTAAAAATGACTCTTCAACAAACTGAATAACATACAATTTACGTGAATGATAAAACAAGTTAACATTTTCAAATGTGCCAGCTGCTTCCTCAACGTGTGCGATCTTTATACAGAGTTGAGAAGAGGCCATCGCTACAGACTGTCTGCGGAAAATTAGTCTTATTTTGGTAGTTTACTGAAGACTGCGCAATTATCTGTGCCTGTTTTCGTTGTGTGTGATCTCAAAATACAGTTAGGCGAAAATTACTGACACAGAAGAACTGTGCAATCCAATCTGGGAAAATATAAGTTTCATATTTTGTGGTTACAGTATATACAATACTGAAGACTAGAAAATTACTGCGGGTCCTAACAGCAATACAAAAGCGATCTATTCAGGGTGAAGAGGTCCCACTTCGAGCAGGGTACATTACCACAAACGCCTACCTTTCAGACCGCAGAGAAAAGACATCGAAATAAGTACAAAGTCAGACTAAACCATCCACGCCTGCCAGCAACGAAGACCGAATATATGATCCTATGTTTTCTCTGTCATAAGATGATTCTACACGGCAGTGCTCTGTACTCGTGGACTGATGTAAGCCTGCAGTAACACATAATGGCTCAATCCCGTGATTTTTTTCGCCTCTTAATCTCGCCGTGTTCTGCAGTCCTCTCTCTAGGTGATCGGTCTACCACAACGCGCTGTAACACTCCAAATGACCACAGAAAAAGTCGTCTTCACACACAGTAGCAGCTGGCGACACGTTTGTTACACGTTCAGTCCCAAGAAAGCGTCAATTCACACGGCTTCTTTTGTCACGACACCTCCTTAACGTCTCCTGACACAAGGGGGTTTGTTATCAGCGTAATGCCCCCGTCGCCTGACACCCAGCGTCCAGGTGGCTATTACGGCCCACCTTTATCCTGGTCAACAAGCTACTTTAACAACCTGCTGGTCCGTGATTGCAGTCCACATGCTATATTTTATAAGTTAAGGATCTGTATATGGTGGTGTTGTGGTGCTAGTATAGATCTGCATTGGAGGATTTCTTTTGTTGTTTAAAATGTATAGATAGAGGTGTGTAGTTTGTTTTGAGCTAAAAAAGACGACAGTGATGAGAGAGAGAGAGAGAGAGAGAGAGGGAGGGGGGTAATATGTATTCTATTGTTTCAAGGACCGAAAACGCACATAAGCTTATGTTTGAACGGGATTTTCATTTGAAAAAAAAATTATCAGATAGCACCGAGCCCTAAGCCAACCGTAATAATAGAGAGGAAGACATAGAATGGTAAACTGGTAAACCACAATGGGAATCGTTTTTTCCGTTTGTCAACTGGTAAAAATAATAAATGAAAAAAAAAATAATAATAAAACAGCCAATGGTAGTAATCATAAAGTGCTCACACTAAGTATCTCCAGTGTTTATTGTTATATTTCCATCTAAAATCACTGGAACACGGAGGGAAATCACAGCCCTGAATTAGTTGAAGGGGCGTTTGTATCTAATAGGGTACCTTGGGTACCTCTGGCTTCATTTTGACATTTTCTTTTTAACTATGTGATAAATCGTGTCTGACCAAAACTGTGCGATATGTTTATCGGGCACGAGTATGACGTCACTTTAAAATGTCCGATCTTGAGAACAAGTATTTCAAAAACTTCCTGACAATTTTGATGTATTTGGTCATGCTATTTACCGGCTCGTGTTGCCTTCATTTATGCTAGTTTTATGTTTGACGAGGTTTGATAACTTTTGTTAGAGGGGAATACGTATTCGGATATAAAATCGCGACACTTTAATACAATGCCAACCACAGTGGACTAAATATATGTTTGCCATCTTATTATTTCAATATTGATTCAAGTTTATCATCAATCTGCCTTTTACATTCTAGAATACTCTCATTATTTCTCATAACTTAACGCTATTTTTGTAAATCTCCAAATAATCTCTTACTTTGTTATGGATCTGTGCAGATGTTGTGGCTCCTCAGGAATCACATTATTAATATTTATTATATAGCGATATTAAACTGAGAAGACTTTGAAAATGGTCACAATCATGGATTCAATAGGCAAACAAAAATAGCCTGTGCGTCAACATAATTAAATCAATGCAGAAAAAAAGGATATCGCCATGCCACCAAAAACAGTATAGCGCGTCTTTTATATTAATACGTCGGCCTAATGTATATTAACATTCATGTCTATAGTATCACAGTTCACCCTCTGTATTCTCTGTGTCTGCTATCTGTGCTGGTTGGAATTCTATACTAAGCGACTTTTCTGGTAGTTAAATCACGCCGATGCGTGACGTTACCAATAGCGCGCGCTGTGTGACGTCATTTGGAGACTGAAGTCCCAGTAATAACTCGTGTGTATCTGGGACCATTATCAAATGACATTGTCACAGTGTCTTGTTAATCACAGCATTAACTATGTGGTCGTGTATTAGCCGCTCTGTCCTACATAGATCTTAACTATGGAAAACAACCTCGCAGAAACAACGCCGCTTTTTCTCTGTTATCTACCCTGCATACCTGGGCCGCCATTAAAGAACGTTTCTCACAACTCATAAATCATGAAGCTTGTTGTAAGCGACACGCTGCAGCTTGAGCCTCCCGCGCAGGTTCAAGCGCGATGTTATTTTATTTCATGGGCAGATCAGCTGTCCGTTGTAATGTAAAACAATCTAGCTTCAACTAATATAGATAGAAAATAAGGAGCTCTGCGGTACACGTATGAATAATTCTGCATTCAGCCGATATAGTTTGATCTATATTCATTTTAGTTATATGATGCATATTTATATTAAATCACAAAAAAAAAGGATAATACCGTCGTCATCAAAGTAGAAACACAATTGATAGGAATATTATCATATGGTAAAAATAGATTTTATTATGAGATTTTCACCTCTTCTTGTACAAAATTTATGGAGTTGATTTTTAAAATGAAGTCTAGTGAATACTGGTCCGGCATCCCTCACTATCACGGGTCCATAAGTACTGGAAAGTAATATGCTACCTCTGTAACTGGTTATCCAGTGTCCCAGAAACTCGTCCTCTCAGAGAGGGTGACACCGAACTCTTTATTAATATGTTATTTTCCCTCGCTTTGTTCCTCGCAGTAAGTTATCATAAAATTGCAATTTACGTTCATTACACACTTTGCTTTACGGTGGAAGATGACCCACTGGACTTTCCTGTACAGATAGAGATCGGCATTCCTGCAGCTCCACGTGTGTTATAAGATCTACGGCGCGATATGGCACAACCCTGGGAATGTTTTAGAGATATTAATTTACATACTGTTTGTAACATATTTTTTTGCTTCATAACTTATTTACTTTTTAATTCCCCATTTTTTTGTGTCGCAAGTGATTTTTAAATGACATAATGGCGATGAGATGATGGGGGTGGGGTGGATGGGCTCTGCACGGACTCTGCCACAACTACATAAAATTTTTCCACACTCCATAAACAAAGTTTTCAATCAATAAATTATATGGAATTGGATTAAACCGCACTAACTCCAAAATTCTTCCTACATCTCCACCATGCCTTGTTCACGTTCCTGTCTGATGTACAACATGTATCTTTTTAAACAAGAATCGTAAGTCAATATCTTCCCCCCCCAAAAAAAAAAAAAAAAACACGTGCGCATCTACCGTCATATCTCTGTCTCTCTCTCTCTCCCCCCCTCCCCTCCCCAACTAACCGTCGTTTTCTAGAGAGCGGAGATTCAGACCCTCAAATCAGGACTTCACGCCTTGGTGAATCAGGAAGGGGGAAGGTGGTGGTGGTGGTGGGGGGGTGTAACGATGCTTTATCCGCCTCATGTTAAAACCGAATCGATATATTTTCTTAAAGCACGACCTCTTGCCTACCTTCGTCTATTCTGTCATTTTAGTTACATCGAAGGCATCCTGTTTGATGTAAAACATGCATCTTTTTAAACCAGAATCGTAAGTCAATATTTTAACCCCCCCCTCCCCGAAACACGTGCTTGTCCACCGTCTACCGTCACTACGATAGTATTTTTTAATTTTGTATTGATCATTGAACTAACAGAATCTTCTGGTTGAAGTTGTCATAAAATCGAGTGGGAATTTCCTGTTCCCGTTTGTTTGAAGTTTTTCACAACAGAGAGCTTAAGTTTTTATACCTTTTGATTCTGCAATGAATACAGCTTACCAACGCCATATACAGAATGTGTACCAGCATTTCCTTACTTCTATTTTCAGATTGTTTTATCACACTACATCGGCACAGTTTTCGTTTTTTATGTTCTCAAGGCGTGATAAAAGCAATATATAGGAGGCAATATCATCAGTGTTTATCTATGGAGTGTGTGGGTAGTCTTAAGAAAAAATATCTCTACTATATTTTTAGAATCATGTGATTAGAATGTTATGTTATTAGAATTGAAAACTCTTATACTAAATTGTTTTACTCCCCCCTCTCTCTCTCTCTCTCTCTCTCTCTCCCCCTCTCTCCCCCCACTCACCGCCGTAAGGGTTCTCGTCCTGGAGAGCCGAGCTGCGCGCTGAATGGCAACTTGACAGCGTGTCTCCCATCAAGCCGTCTTGGACCCTCACAGACGCCAGAGAGAACGCATCCCAGTGCTGCTGCACCCGGCTAGCTTCTGGGAACGAAAATAAAACATGTGTCAACTGCGTGGAAAAATTAGGCGTACACTCCATTTGTTTTCACTTTTGTTGGTAATGAAAATATAATTGATCAATTTCAGCCAGTAGACAGATATTACATAGATTAAAAACATGATAAAAGCGTCCCAATTCACATCAGCTATGCCATTAATAGTTTTATCTGGCGATGTCAGTGACGCTCAACTTGACAAATATTGAATTTTTTCACCAGGTCCACTTTTTTCTAAGGAGACTCATCACTCTGTGGACTCAGAAGGACGAGATGATGTAACCACACTCAGCTGACAGCGAAAACAGATACCAAATAAACGAGAATAGAAAGTGAACATTACAGTGTCTGTGAGGTTTTTCTTGAATGTCAAAGGTGACTGTCGAAAGCGAATATCAGACTTAGAAAAACGAGATCCGATTAAATGATTCACGCAGAAAGAATAATCCATATTCATCTGTCTAGAAATTACATGTGTTCAGACACGGAGGACATTGGAATGGTAATCGGTCTAAGTCGCGTCATTACGCTACAAAGATGTTTTTAATGTGAGACTTCTTTTTCGTTGGTAAACTGATGACGCAAGATGATTCAAGTTCATGTTTAAGCAAGAACAGAGTTATTTTTTAAAAGTAATCCTTTGCCTGGTGAAACATCCATCCTATTTTTTTGTTTAATTATACCACAGACATAATAAACGGTATTTGTCAGATGTCCCGAAGAAATCGGTCCAAAAATAAGACAAAGGAAATGTAGAATATGTCTGTATAAAGCAACAAGGGCATTATTGTATTGAAAGCTTTGATATCCTGTGTAACAAAAACGCAATTGTCGTGAATCTATCACTAATGCGTTCCCAATTCCAGACACGGCCGCTGCTATGCTAGCAACTCGTTTATTCAGGGAGATTAAATAACTTTCGTTCAAGGACAAATAGCTAGGAGTGGAGCATCTATTTTACACTTCAAAGGATAATTTTGCGTTCTCAAATCCCCATAAATATATGCCATAAAACGTGTGTTATCTATCATTTATAAAAAAAGATGATCTTTCTTGAAACAAGAACTGAATATTCTGCACAACGTCTCCTTACATAAGCTTGTTGTAGAACAGTAGGTATGGGAGGTTGATCTATCCGCTAATATACAGAAAATATACGGGATTCTTTCTAAGGCACACGCACAACGCACACGCACGCACGCAGTACATTGCACTTAGAACACTGCAAACAAAATCCGAATTACTTGCGGTATCCAGTCCACATGTTACCCTCATATTCACGAGAAGAAAGATGCAGCTGAAACGAAGCCCGTTTTCTCCTTTCTAAACATGTACATGTAGCCCCCCCCCCCCCCCCCCCCGGAAAAAAAAAGGATTAATCTTATCCCGGTGGCGTAATGTCACTAAATTGATGAATGACACTGTTGACGCGGCAATTAATAGTGAACGCATTTATCAGTGGCACCTTCTTTTGTCATCGAAATAAAAGAGAAAAGTTCACTTTCATCACAAAAGAAGAAGCAATAGAACCACACTTTGCAGGAAATGTCTACATTGACTTACGTAATCTTCATACGCATCCCAGTTTTGCTGATACAAGTATTTTTTTAATGGAAAGGAAAGTCACTAATATTTACATTTGAGAAAGGCCGTATTTGCGTTTGTTTACCTTTGAAATTTGTTTTCAAGGTGACATAATTGAACAAAGAAAAAAAGTGGAGTGACAGCCGTGGGAAGAAATAATACAGACGTGTTAGTAGACAGTGGCGGCCTCTCGCGGTACTCTTAATGTCGTCTGCTGTGACTTTGCGTGTTTAAAACACAACCATATTGAGTCCAACTTCTGTCGTCCGATACTGAGTCGTCGACAGATAATTAGTTTCTTGTTAAGTCAGGAATAAAACCAGGTATTTAGATTTAAAACGGCATCCTATTTTATTTCCTACCACACAAAGATGGAAATATCAGTCTTGACCGAGAGCTCTTACTTAAGAGAAATTATAATAATAATGATTGCAACAAGTTGCATGCAATTTATACACGATGAGTGATGATAAAGGATGAAATTTCATTCTAGACAGTTCTATAAAACCGACCAAATGAAGGCCATTATAAAGATAGGTATAAAAAGGTGACAAATGTAGACGGCCCCTTACATGCAATAAAACACATCTAATATATGTAATGGGGACACAATGGCACAGCGTAGTATGTAGCTAAGGTCACGTAGGGTCAAAACTTCACGCATATATATTACTTTCTTGGTCATATGTGTGGAGCGCTGTGTGTGTGTGTGTGTGTGTGTGTGTGAGAGAGAGAGAGAGAGAGAGAGACAGAGAGACAGAGTAGAGAGAAAGTAAGAAAGAGAGAGAGAGAGTGTGTGTGTGTGTGTGTGTGTGTGTGTGTGTGTGTGTGTGAGAAAGAGAGAGAGAGAGACGGAAAGATGACCTACAGATGTACGTTTAAATGTAACGAGTTGCCACCAAAACTTAATATCGCTTTTTGCACATATATCAAATACTACTACCGTGTATGTATCACGTCCCACACGTTCGACAGAGTGACACTGATTCATCCACTTACACGATGCTGCAGGTATATTAATATCTGCTCGAATTTAATATGTCTGTGTCTCCATCGTGCAATGTTATGGTGGATGACATCAATATTGAGGCAAATAACAAGAGAAGATATACCTGTGAAATTTTGATTGTGCTGTTAGGTATTGCGGTTTTATTTGAACATATTTTGTAGATTTTAGAACATATTCACATGCCTATGAATCCAAATTATCTGTGTGTGAGTGTGTGTCTTCGAGAGAGAGAGAGAGAGAGAGAGAGAGAGAGACATGTGCCGTGTACCTACTATAAGAAACTTTCCGGTGTTCAAAATGTCGTCCGTTTCTCACAATTATCGTCTGCTAACAATTCGATAAAAGTGTTACCCCATACAATGCTGGTAATCTTTCCAATCGGAAAACTGTCGTCTGATGAATAAACCTGTCGTCTGCCAAAGTAGGATTAATAATCATTACGAACAAAATGTTCCCTCAGTTTTGTGAACACTGACACAACTCCGTCCTCACTGTCTCTGTGAAATGAGATTTACATCTGTCGTCTGCTACTAAATCCTCAGTGGACTTAACCCATCGTCATTTACTTCAATGAACGCGCAGAGAGCGCTTAATAAAACGCAACATCATATCGACGGCTGACCTTACTTGAATGACGCCAACTTCCATTAAGAATTAAAACCATGCGACCGCAGATGTTTAAAAATCCTCCCACTCAATGCGGGGATGTCACTCTCATAAGGTGAGGTAAGTGTGAGTTAAATTCACAAGTCAAGATGGTAAATTGCCCGAAGCCAACCTGTCAACATTCTTAAAATACAGTTGACTGATTTTTTTTACCTTGCCAAATCGCCTGATAGTCTGCATAAAGTTGAAGAGAAAGAAGAAATGAAAGAGAATTTTTCGAACATTTATCAAGTCATAGAGACCAAAAGAAAAGAGGAAAGAAAATAAAAAAAGAAATTGTTTGACTGGGGACTATAAGATTATTGACCATTAGTTATCATTCCTGGAAAAGAGGGGCGTTGGGGGGCATGCTTTTGCTTTTTTATTGGGTAAGGGAGCTTTGAAACAATCGTACATGCACAAGGACCTTACCTAACAACGGTAGATATTCTAGATATTAACAGATACGTCTCTAGTTAATACATGGAACCGGAGAAGATTGATTGTGCCCGGAAGTGACGTGCAGTGGTGTTAGAAGCGAAGCTGAGTGGTCATTTTAACATAGAGGTGAACGGCAGTGAAGACGGGTTGTCGGAGGAAAAACAAGTTTTCTAAACAACATGGTAAGATAACTCTCTTTTTTTAAGCATTTTGGGCAGAGAATACTTGAAGAAATAATAGACGCATGATATGAAAACGTGGCACGGAACTTGAAGGTGCAAAATTATCGTGCTTAATTTGCGGTCAACTTGTTTAGAAATAAATGCTGCGTCGACCGCCAGCGCGACAAAAAGCGTAAAGGGGAAATAATTCCCGGGAGTCTATAAATCGTTGTCATGTGGAAATTTGGCATTAATGTAATCCGATATGTCCATGTCTAAGTATTTTTGGGTGTTTTATGGTATGGGCTGCAATTACAACGATGTTTTAGAGGTCTTGAAGGACCTTGTGAAAACCAGGAAGTAGTTCGTAACTAACAAGTGGAATGTACCGATCTCCGACTGCTGTGCACAGCTGTGTCTTTTTTTCAATATATTGACGAATTTTTATATCTTTATATGTCCATCTGGCATGAAATTCCACACACATGATCACACTGATATACCTTTTACACTGGGGAAGGCGCTAATCAGTGACAAATGCCAAGACAAAGGTGACATTCTGACAGCCTCTTATCTGAGTTAAAAATCACTGACAAAAGAGAAGGGAAATCAATTTCCTCAGGCTGGCAATCATTAGCCTATAGAAATTGGTCATGTTACATCTTATCTACCTGTGAGAATCGTTTTACCAACTGAGTATTGCATAATAATGTCAATTATTAGTACTTTAAGCTAGTCTTAATGACCTGTCAGCTCACCTGAATTCTCTTTCCGTCTTTTTGGGAAGATCTTGTCAGTGAAATGCCAGTCGCGTACTTGTGATTTTTTAGCTCAGATAAGAGGCTGTCAGAATGTCACCTTTGTCTTGGCATTCGTCACTGATTTATGCCTACCCCAGTGTAAAAGGTGTATTAGTGTGCTCACGTGTGTAGCATTTCATGTCAGATGGACATATAAAGATCTAAAAATTTGTCAATATATTGAAAAAAAGATACAGCTGTGCACAGCAGTCGGAGATCGGTACATTTCACTTGTTAGTTACGAACTACTTCCTTGTTTTCATAAGGTCCTTCAAGACCTCTAAAACTTCGTTCTAATTGCAGCCCATACCATAAAACACCCAAATAATACTTAGATATGGACATATCGGATTATATTAATGCCAAATTTCCACATGGCAACGATTTACAGCCTCCCGGGAATTATTTTCCATTTACACTCTTTGTCGCAATGGCAGTCGATGCAGCATTATTTTAAAACAAGTTGACCGCCAATTAAGCACGATTTGCACCTTCAAGTTCCGTGTCACGTTTTCATATCATGCATTTATTATTTCTACAAGTTTTCTCTGCCCAAAATGCGTAAAGAAAAAGTATTATCTTACCATGTTGTTTAGAAAACTTGTTTTTCCTCCGACAACCCGTCTTCACTGCCGTTCACCTCTATGTTAAAATGACCACTCAACTTCGTTTCTAACACCACTGCACGTCACTTCCGGCACAATTCTGACCAATGCTGATCTTCTCCGGTTCCCTTTATTGATGGCACTTTTCTGCACTGTGAGTTTGGGAAAAGTGCGCATAATTAAGCTGCGGCCCTGGTAGAGGCCCAGTGGGTGGGTAAAATGGACGTCAAGCTGCCAACTCGGCTTTTCGTGCCAAAAGACGGCAAGTGTTTTATCCTTAATGCAGCTTACATCATGACCACTAAACAGACACACTATATACAATGTACTCCTATATTTTGTTGATTTTTTTTTTTTTTTTTTTTTGCGTTTGATACCAAGGTGAAAAGAAGTGTGAAATAAACCCACGGGTCACAAATATATCACACGATGCAAAATGGTAATGGTGCAACTTTTTTTTTAACGAAGCGCGACTCTGCAGCCCAAAATCTGACTCATTATCTTGAGAATCCGCATGATTTATGCCCCAATCTTTATTTTCCTACGTATCAGTTTATATTTTAAGTTACCAAGGCAGTGCCAAGAGTCTGTCAAATGTAATTTGAGAAGGGCGTGGACTTTTTTCATACTTTAAATTAATAAATGCTTTTAGGCGAAACTCCATTGACATTTTAGTTTTACGGGCGACCAAGGGCGAACTCTAGGTGTACACAACTAGATGCCAACAAAAAGCTTGTTTACTTCTGTATTTCATTTGATATAATTGCACACTAAATATGCTTCGCACGTGTTAATTCTATGTAGCTTATCCGCCCATCGCCTTAAGAATATCTTGCATTCTGAAGACCGACCCCTTTCAGAAAATAATGCAATTGAAATAAGAAAGTAAATACTATTTGTTAGGTAATATGGGGACATATTGTTGAAAATTGACGTTGATGGAATTTGTAGAACAATACTAGAGGCAATACTAGGATCTGTATCGGGTCTTCGTTAAATGGCAGAGGCCTGGACTTCTCTCTTCTTGTCTGTCCAGATCAATCTCTCAAATCTCTTGTTATAACAGGGTCGAATGGGACCAGAGAACGTCACTTTTGATATCGTATGCAACGGAAAAGCTGTAGTGTGTAACGTCCTGTCGGATTGATCTTTATCCGAATTTTTGTTGGACAGCCGGAAGTGGCTAGTGGTCGGCAGCATGAAGCACTTAACTATTTGCTAAGATTCTTTCCTATTTTGTCTTATCAGATGGAAGGAAGTGCCGTTCTTTATGTAACAGTGCAGAGAACAACATAGAACTCGATTATGTGCTGTTGTTGTCTCCAGAAAGTCGTCTAACAGAAGGAAGCCGTCTTACACCCCATTTCCATAGATTAGATCGACCTACTTTAGATCGACCTAACACCCTGGGGGTTCACGCTAAATAGCTGTCAGCCGGGCGGGCACGAAAGTTAATTATCCCCTTACAGCTTGTAATAGACGGGACGGACATTTAAGTCGGATTATCTGAAAGTAATCTAGTGAGACTCCCCGCGGGGATAGATCGATCTAAAATCTATGGGAATAGAGCCTTACTCAAGCCGTCTAACTTGTGTCTCATCGTGTCGCCAAGACTTGTCATATGTCATCACTGTGACACAGCGTGTTGTGACTCGAATGTTATATGTGATCAGACCGTTAACTTCAACCTGTTTTTATGAATTAAATACTGTTTTGAGTGTGGAAACCTCTGAATAATTTAATTTTGATGGGTATTTGTTTTTTTACGTCTAACCCCCTCCCCCCCCATATGTCACCATCGCACATTTGTCGGTTCTTCTGAAAGCCGTGTCACAGGTACTTTGTCGCTAACACGTACACCAACCATCATACACACTGTATATACACTATGACCGTGGTGCAGTACGACACAAAACATTAAGTCCAGAAAAGCTGCAACTGCTCTACCTGACACTCGTATGCAAGGATTAATGTTATGCCATGGTCTAATGTAGCTGTAGCCTCCAAAAAGAAGAAAAAAAAAGAACCCATGTGGCCTTGTCCCAAACACGTATCTCTTCAATAAGATACCTGTGGTGGCTCGGATCTACCACAGAACCCAAAATTATTGCCTCCCTAGATTAAGTTTTCTGTTTCTAGCACTCGGACTCTTATTCACATTTTAAATCAATCGAGTTAGCACAAATAAATAAATAAATAAATAAATAAATAAATAAATAAATAAATAAATAAATAAACAGGAATACTAGAGGGTTATATTCTGTTCTACGTTGCCCAATGTCAGGTGTAAAAAAGACATTGGGAAACATAGAAGAAGATAATAACACAACCTACCATGTGTACATACCTGTTCCCACCCTCTACCAGGCGTCACAGAGATATTTTTCACTAGATATCCACCGATATTCCTCTGGCCTATTCTGTGCACTTTGTACTGCTCAGCCAAAAATTTTACACAGAAATGACGCCCTCACTCTGATAGAGACAGTTTAGAAACTAATCTAAGATAGCACCTGTTTAAAGGTAATACTATAGATTCTCACGTCCTCTCCTGTGTGCCCGACAGCATGGCCGGCCATTTCTTGTCCAATTTTAATGTTTGTTGTCCTATTTACAGCCAAAATTCCTCAACTTGGCAACTTATCAGAGACAGAAGTCGTAGTATTTGTTAACAATCTAGCACATATACACCTAAATCTCACTCAAGTTGTGAGTCGTACTCTCAACGTGTCTTATCAGACATATGAGCGGTGTAGTAGCAGTCGTTAGCAGTCAAGCACCGGCGTTTTCTACTGCCAGTTACACGCGGGAAGGAGTCTCCCGTCAGCGGCTTATCTCGGAGTCGGCGGAGCACGAGCTGTAAACAAGAACTCGGAGATTC